CATGCAAATTCGCAAAGACCTGTCGAACCAGGCCCGATCCCTTAAAGAGGCAGAGCAGCGGATTTCACTTTTGGAGGAGGAAGTGATGGAAGCTAATACGAAAGTCGCAGCAATTGATGACATCTCCCAATCACTCCTTACAAAGATAGATGACTTGGAGAATAGAACTAGGAGGAACAACCTCCGGATCATTGGACTACCTGAAACCTACAAGCAGCAAGTACTGGCACACATGTGTTCGTCCACCCTGCCTGATGCTTTGGGCCTCACTACAACATGTGTGGTGGAACGGGCACACAGATTGGGGCAGCAGCAGCCGGACAGACCTAATCCAAGACCGGTCATAGGCCGGTATCTGAATTATGCTGACAAATCTCTCATCCTGCAAAAATACCGCTCCTCTCGAACCTTGGAGGTGGATGGTCACAAGATATTGATCTTTGCGGATTACTCAGCAGACGTTGCAAGAAAACGAAAGGTCTTCAACAAGATATGCTCCGCTCTATACCAGAAGCAAGTTAAATTCACGCTGGCATACCCCACCACTTTGCACCTGGAAACCCCTACGGGCAGAAAGTGCTCCTTCCAGGATCCTATGGAGGCAGAATCCTTTTTTCGCTCGATGACCTGGGAATCTGGGTCTCCCCCTGGGGTTGTCGAAACCCTCAGATCCCCCCGCAAAACCACAAGATCTACAAAACGGAATAAAGACACACCGCGAAAATACAGATTTCGCTGAGCTCAATGCGGCAGTAATAGCTACTTCAAAAGATACTCGGGTCAAAACCTGGGCAGGGAGAGTTGCTCCTAATTGATAACTTGTTCCATGGTGGCAGTGGCTGGCTGTAGCGAGATACTCGCTCTGCCCACATAGGACACATACAGATATAAGCCCGCTAGTCCATGTTGTCTTGCTAGGGAACTTTTATGAGGATAGTATCATGGAATGTCAAGGGGATGCGTTCCCCAAATAAGCGCAATATGATTCTAAGACACCTTAAATGCCTGGATGTGGATATAGTGCTATTGCAGGAAACCCACATGAGGGGGGAGGATGTGCAACGCCTTAGGAAACTATGGGTGGGGGAAGCATTTGACTCTCCCTCAGAGGGTCGGAGAGCGGGAGTGGTGATTCTGATGCACAGGAGACTCCCATACCAGGTGGTCAGAGTGGAACGGGATGATGAGGGTCGGATGCTTACATTATATCTCAAATACTTTGAAGTGGAATTGGCGATTTCAAATATATATATGCACAATTCACCGACCAAATCTCATTTCCAAAAGCTGTCCTCCTGGCTAACTAAAACGGCCAACTTGCACCACCTGGTGGGGGGGACTTTAATTGCACTATGAATCCCCTAGAGGATAGAAAGAGAACCACCGGCACTCCCCAAACCTCACAACAACTAAGATCAGGCTCACACTCGCCACTGGCAGAGTTAGCATCGGCAATGGGAATGCATGATCTATGGAGAATAATGCATCCACTGGAAACAGAATTTACCCATTTTTCTAGGGTACATGATTGTTTTGCCCGCCTAGACTACCTATTCGGTACGAGCCCCCTGATGCAAATGATCAAAGCCTCAGCCGTACACGACATAGTAATCTCTGATCATGCACCCATCTCGATGGATCTCGCTATTGCCCCAAGGATAGCCAACACTGTTTTGTGGCGCTTCCCGTGGTACCTTAATGGCAATGGCGATTTCTGTCACTTCCTTAAGTCTTCCTGGCAGGAATATGCGGAATCCAACAGTCAACATATGGGGTATCCCACACTGTTTTGGGAAGCGGGGCAGGGTTATGTCATACACGTCTGCCTATAAAAAAAAAAACCATGAACGCCTTCAAGGGGGCCAGCGAGGCAGTTCGACTGGCACAAAGAAGGCTCATAACAGATTCAGGGCAGGATGCAAAAACACTTTGGGAACAGGCCAAACAGACGTTTGATTTATGGGCAGATAGATACGAACGTATGAAGACCTCCTACATGGATCTCACGTTCCATAAATTTGGGAATAAGGCAGGGAAGTTAATGGCAAGACTGGTGAACGGCAGAAACTCCCCATCCCATATCTTTGTGCTGCAGGACAAGGAGGGCTCCCCACTCACTGATCCAGTGGCTATCAACAGGGCCCTTGAAGAATACTTTACCTCTTTGTATGGCAAAGACGACATGGACAGGGGGAAGGCAGAGCAGTTTCTGGGCCAGGTTAGTCTTCCAACAGTGGCGGAGGACCAGCTCCAGATTTTGAATGCAGAAATCACATTAGGTGACATAGAAACAGTCATACAGACATTGGCGGGAGGCAAGGCCCCTGGGCCGGATGGGTTCACCACCGAATTCTTCAAGATACTCAAGGGGGATATAACAAGTTCATTACATGCCTTATACAACCACATGTGGGGGGAGGGTGAATACTTCCCCACAGGAAGGGAGGCATATATTAAACTCTTGCCAAAGCCGGGAAGGGATCCTACTCACCCAGGTTCATATCGGCCCATCTCACTTATAAACGTGGACGCGAAAATCCTTTCAAAAATACTGGCAAACAGGTTGGCTGAAGCAATGCCAAGCCTCATACACCCTGCTCAGGTTGGGTTTGTAAGGGGAAGGGCCGCAGTAATGAACTTATGAAGGGTTATATTGGCCCTTGAACAAGCGAAAGCATTTCCCGCTCAGGAGTTTGCCATAGTGACTCTTGACGCGGAGAAAGCGTTCGACAACGTCAACCTCGAATGGCTATTTTTGGTTATGACCAGGCTGGGGTTTCAGGGTAGGTACCTTTCCCTGTTGCGCAAGATGTACTCCTCTCCCACAGCGAGGATATGGACTCGGGGAGCTCTTTCCCACCCTAACAGCCTAAGCAAAGGAACTAGACAAGGATGCCCCTTATCCCCACTACTGTTTAATTTGGCGTTAGAGCCGTTGGCCAGATACGTCCTACAAACGGACGCGATACAGGGCATTCCGATTGGCAAGGAGGAACTCCGAATTTCCCTCTTTGCTGACGATATACTGTTGTTCACCTCCCGGCCCAGGGAAGATGTGCTGACCATTCAGAACCTTTTTGACACGTTTAGCGCCTTCTCTGGGTTTCGCATCAACTATTCTAAGAGCGAGATATTGCCCTTAGCAGGACTGTCCTCCTCCACGTGGGACAACCCATCGGATCTTGCGGTGGCACGCCAGGACATCACCTACCTGGGAATCAAAGTAGGTAAACTGCCATCAACGCTGTATAATCTGAATTTTTCTCCCCTTATAGACAGGATAATACGGGAGTTAGAGAACTGGAAGGGCTTACCCCTCTCGCTGTTCGGGAGAATTCACCTGGTAAAAATTACGAGCTTTGCGAGACTATTATACCATTATTGAAGCATAAGGATATTCAACGTCTCAACAAGGCGATGGTTCAATTTATATGGTGCCATAAACGCCCGAGGATTGCTTTGAAAAAGCTTTGGCTCCCGAGAAGCGAGGAGGGAATCGAACTTCCCTAATGTTAGGTTGTATAACTTGGCATGTATACTGCGCCATGCTGTGGACTGGCTTACCGAAAGTTCGAGGTACTCTAATTTTGAAATAGAAGCGGCCCTGGTACGCCCATGGGACCTGCGAGCCATACTGCATTGTAAATTGTCAAAGCTGCCAGGATCACTGGGCCGTCACCTGTTAATCAGGGACACGATCTAAGCCTGGAAGGTGGTTAGACGACGACTGGGTCTATCGCCCTATCTATCAGCGATGTGTCCATTGCTTGGGAATCCCATGTTCCCGCAGGGTGCCGATTATGCTGCTTATAAGGAATGGCACAGGAAGGGGCTTACTCTCTGGAAACAACTGTTCCAAGGTGGTACCTTCCAACCTATACCTTTCCCGGCTATGGCACAGCAGTATTCATTGCCATCTTCTCAATTCTTGTATTATTTACAGGTCAACAAAACCTGGCGAATGTTCTCCAGGGACCCCAAAAAACTCTTTGCCACTACGTTTCTTGACACCCTCATATCAGGGGGGAGATACTCTATCTCAGATATATACCAAGGGCTGCAACTAACATATATGGCCAACTTGTCCTCCTCCAATGTTAAGGAATGGTCCAAAGACTTCCCAACACCGTACTTAGTGGAGGGCTACAACTTGATATGCAAACTGGTAACAAATGAAACTTGGAGGGAGACCCAGTTTAAAATAATGCATCGGGCCTACGTGGCATACTTCCGCCTGGCTGGAGCGACGGCGCAGCAACTACTATCACTATGCCCAAAGTGTGGACTCTCCCGCCCCTCGCTGGCTCATTGTTTTTGGAAGTGTCATGCAATGGAACAGTTCTGGACTGGGATTACCACATATATCGCAAAAGTCCTAAAGTGGACCCCGCAACTGAACCCAATACTGTACCTATTCAGCATTCCCGAATACTCAGGGGTGGAACCTCAATGCACCACTCTTAGGGGTAGAGACTGGCTACACATTTGTCTATTGGCCGCTCGAAGATGCATAATGAGAGCGTGGAACACATCTTCCACACCGCCAATCTCCAGTGTCATTGCGGAGCTGAAAATCTTGTTCCTAAGGGAACTGGAAACTAAAATGAACGTAGATGCACTCGATGCAAAATTCTTCAAACGATGGAAACAATTCCTGGCAGCAACATATGAGGGCGCAGAGTTGGAGTCAATCATGCAACCCTTTAAGTACTCGGACTGGTATCTCAAAGCCAAACTGGCAAATGACTTGGGGGTCCTGGAGGTGTCCTGAAGCAATTAGTGCAGTAGCCTTTGATTAGGAATTAACAGTAATATCCCTAGAAGTAATCACCTTTTTATAGTGTATAGCATACAATGAATACAGTCAAAGTGGCAACCAGCTTGGGAATGTTGGAATGTTGAAATGTTAAAAGTTGAATTGGTTATAATTGTTATTTCTGGTACAATTGAGAAGGTTGATGTACGTGATCTCAAACTGTGTGGATTATATGTCATGTACCATGGGACGGGTATGCCCCTTGGGGGTATAACCGTGAAAACAGAATGAAATAAAAGTTTTGTTTAAAAAAAAAACCAATGTAAAACAAGAATATAAAAAATATATATATTTACTGTTTGCTTCAAGCTTTTATTTCCTTGAGTTCATTATCCGTTTGTATATCCCATGCTCCTCTCCCAGTAGCCATTATTAGTAATAGCAGAGGATTCTCTCTCCATTTATTTCCTCGAATAGCTTCTCCCCCGATTCACTGGTAGATCCTGTGCCTGTGCACTAGGCAGCCAAGTGACTGTCTAGGCTCTTTACACATTACAAAAACCCTTTCCCTATACGCAGTGTGTGGGCAAGCTTTTGGAAATCAAGGCAGTAGCATTTGTTAGCTAGAAAAGTAATGAATTATTGCATGCAGAGTAAAACAGAGATGGGTGGGGGGATAGGCAAAGTTCTGTAGTCCAACAGGGATGACAATGCTGACTCAATTTTATTGTAGCAACAGCAGGGTCTTGCCTGCTCCAACAGGAAAGTTAGGAGCATACTGGATTTCTGTTACACATGTATTTTTCTGTACTTTTGCAGAATTTCTAATGGGATAAAACAATGTGCATGTATTACAGAGATACTGTATATAATGTTTTTTGTTTTGTTTTTTGCTCTGACATAAACGTAGATTTTGTCATTTTAAATTAACACTTTTTCTGACTTTAGTACAATGCAACAAAAGATGAACTTCGGCCATCAGAGGAAGAAGCCAGCACTTTTACAAAAATAATTGAGGCAATGGGTTTCACTGGACCACTAAAGTACAACAAATGGGTGAGATAAAATGTTTGGTTTTATGGAATGTTACCAGTTTTGCTAACAGAATGGGGTCTATGTATAAACATTTCACAGAGCTATTTGTCCAGCGAATCTCTGTCAATGTTTGTTCTGTGCGAATACAGTAGAGGCAAAGCCAAACGTTTGGTATATTTTAATTTCAGGTCAGGTGTAATGTAATACCACATTATGGCCACTACGTAGAGCCAAGGAGCATAGGGAATAAGCATTTTTTTTTTCCTATGTGCCTTAGCTCCATCTAGTAGCCATAATGCAGTGTTACATTACAATACATTCAACCTCAAAAAGAGAAAATTTGCTAAGAGTATTCCTTTGTCTCTATTCGAAAGGATTGAACGTTCACAGAAGTTCACAAGGCGAATGGCTCTGAAAATCGTTTATGTAGACAAAAGAGACCGTTCCGAAGCCAAAAGGCTAAGGGCTTGGAAGTCATGGAGGGCTAGTACCTTCACCGACACTTAAAAATATCATATTTTATTAAAGATATAAAAAATACAAAACATGAAAACATATATGCATATTGGTACTCAGCCTAAACTTGGTAAGCATAAACCTTGTATACTCATACAGAGATGATAAGTTATGATCAGGGAGTCAACGTCTCCCATTGAAGTGAGCAAAACAGGACTGCAAAGGCTTCAATAGTCACAACCTCGGTTCCCCCTAAGGGGCCACATGAGAAAACCGAGCAAAAAGGAGAGGACTGCAATGGAGATGGTGCCTGTTGATTCAAATAGCATAGCATATGTGTTGAGGCTTTCCAAGGTGAGCAGCAAACATCTGTTTTGCTCACTTCAATGAGAGAATAGCTGCTTCAACTAAGGACTCACTGATCATAATTAGTCATCATCTCTGTATGAGTATACAAGGTTTATGCTTACCCAGTTTAGGCTGAGCACCCATATGCATATATGTTTTTATGTTTCATATTTTCAAAGTCTTTAATAAAATATTATATTTTTACACAATTTTAAGTGTCTGTGAAGGTCCTATAATTGCCTAAAAAGCTCTCCATGACTTCCAGCCCTTAGCCTTTTGGCTTCGGAACTGTCTCTTTCGTCTACATATTGCTTTAGGGTTAGTTCACACCAGAAACTGCATCACAACTGCGTGCGTCTGCGCAGTTGCACTGCGATGCGTTTTTACACATTTGCAATGCGTTTTGATGTGTTTCTGATGCATTTTTTTTCTGCACTAGAAAATACTAATTAGACAATTAGGTCACTCCCTCTTCCTGTCATAGACTTACCCGGAGCGCCGTCGCCGCGGCCCGGCGTCTCGGCTGTGACGTCACGGCCGGCTCCTCCCACTGAGCACGGCGCCTCCTCATAATCACAGGTGAGTCAGTCACTCGGCGTTCTATCGTTGTGGAACGTCAAGCGACTGACTCTGTGAGAAACAGAGCCACAGACCGCCTTAGCCTTAGAGTGGGGGTTCAGCCTGCATACCAGGACTCAGCTCCTGACCATCCGCTGAGGCTCACCTCTGCCATGCAAGGATACCACCTGATCCACCTGAGCTCACTCCACACCAGAACCACAAGTACTAGGGGATCTTCCCCCTCCTATTAGTAGCCACTTCGAACCATACCCTGCTAAAATACTATTGATGAACTGTGTCTGTTAGTACAGATTGTACTTGCTGTATTATAGTAGTTACGGATTGCATATCTTGTTCAGGCTTGGACAAATCTATCATACCGGTAGATACTACACTGTAAAGCTTTCCAAAGTAAACTAGTGGACACTACTGGTTAGTTCACCTTACTATTGGTTACAGAGGAGTGGATGTGGTTATAAACAAGCACCTTCCTGCGACTCCTTCCGAAAAACTACAACTCACCTCACGCCTCCACTTTTGAATAGATATCCGGATTACCATATACTCTAGCTAAAACCGGACCCTCATTGGTCCATATCCAGGTAACACTTTTAGGACGGGTACATGATGTGGAACGGTCCCCCATCGCACTGAGTGTATTGGGGTTCCGCCATACTGACCGAACCCTGACTCCTAGAGTGTTAGTTCCGCAGCTGAGATCCAGGAGAGTATTGCCCTGCTGGACTGAGACACTTCATGGCAGAGCATTTCCTACATTTGTTTTGGAGATCAGACATGTTTTCTTTGTTGGCTGGTATGGTACTAGAGTTGACTATAGCCATTCTCCGACATCGCCTTTGCAGCTGACGGTGATATTGGGTGCACCCGGATGTTTGCTGTCATACAGCAGGGGACAGTCCTGCACATATTGGATGAAATCATCTGCATCCACAAATTCCATCTCTTCACTTTCTCTCCACACTACAAAGAGGAAGTCCTTGGGTGATGACATAATCAATTCTGAGTCTTTTTTTTTTTGTATGCGTTCCGGTGTGTTTGATGCGTTTTCTATGCGTTTGCACTGCATTTTGATGCGTTTTGAAGCAGTTTGATGCTGGTAAAATAGGACAAGCAGTACTTTTTCTGACTGCATCTGAACGGACTGCAATGGTGTGAATTAAGCACAAGAAAGCCCACAGGAAAGCATTGTGATGTATTTTGACTGCAGCAGTCAAAATAAACGGACTGCATCACAACTGCATATGGTGTGAATTGGCCCTTATGGGTGTGCTTGTAGGACCTTCCCCTCTTGAACATAATCTTATTACTAATCTGAAAATTGTTTAGAACTAGACCCCTATGTATTCCGCATTTTGCTTATTTTATTAATTTTCACAGTGCTGCCTTATTTTCAAGGCCTAACCAGGATCCTGCAGTCTCATCTCTTTTCATGTTAGTATACTGACACTCCTATAACATCAGTTTGTATGTAAACTGATTACCTCTTCAGTTTTTTTTTTAGATTAGGGATACATTAAGAAAACATAAAAGCTCAATATCCTGGACTTATCTTTTTACACTTTTAGAAGAATGGGGCTTTGGGGCAGGGTTTATTCGCTTGCTACGGAACTTATATTCCTCACCTGTAGCCACCATTAAGATGCAGGGATTTAAATCAGCCCCAATACCGATAAATAAGGGTACTAGACAGGGATGTCCCCTGTCACCCCTATTATTCGCATTAGCGATTGAGCCGCTGGCTATTTCGATAAGGGAAAACCCGGACATTAAAGGAGTGTACTGTGGACCTAGAATTTTGAATAATAAAAGCTCCATGTATCTCTATTAAACCCAGGACTGCATTACTTCCATTTTACAATGCTACCCAACAATTCACCTTAAGTGCTTATTGCATTTCTATCACAACAAACTATAAATTGTTCTACCACCTAAATCCTCTGTATTGTTTAAAATTCAAAGGAATTGTTTTTGGAAAATTAAATAAAACTGTCCATAGCAAATAAATCACTCCATTAAACCAGCAATCCCAGCCAAACTTGGGCTTTTATATCAAGTAAAAAATACAAACTAGCGTCCTCCCGTCACCCTAGGCTCAGTATACCGCAGCTGTAGCTCGCGATATACTGAGACGCCGCTGTATACCGCTCGCAGTATACTGAGACGCAGCAACTGAAGCGGATCCCGACAATTGTGCCGGGATCCGCCCAGCTGCGTGACAGCTGACTCTGCCTCTAGATAGGCACAGCCAGCTGTACCCGCCCCCTCCCCCGTCCGTTCCGCCAGTC